CATCGTCGCCAGGTCGGACTGGTTGCGGACGGCCTGCGTGGCGCGGGTGAGGCATCGAAGCGGCGCACACGTGCAGGCGTCGTCGCGGCACAGGCGCAGGCGGCGACGGCGGCCGCGATGGGAGTGCGAGGCCATCGCAGCACCTGGAAGTCGCCGCAAATGAGGAGGAGGTCGACGGTGGTCTGGTGAACCGCCTCGATCTGCGCCACGGATGCGTAGATCGAGTCGAGCTCGCCATGGCCGCAGCCCACCAACGCGATGCGCATGGTAGCCGGGGTCGCCCGAGTGGGGCTCAGTTTCTCCGCTCCACGCCTCGCCACGCCTCGCCGCTTGCGGTCCTTCCAGCGCACGAGTTTTTCTTTTTTCACGACAGCTCGCGCTTGTCATGTGAGAGCGTGCGCTGTGCGCACTCCGCTCCGCAACGTATTTCTTTGTACCTCGGTGTTGAGCGTTCACGCTCAGTTTTTTGCTCAGCTGCTCCTCCCTGGGTCTCTCCCCATGCCGCTCTGGCGAGCACTGCGCGGGTGCTATCCGTCCGACGAGGCAGCTCTGACTGCGCTGACCGCCAACAAGGGTATTGTTACGCCATGGGTTGTCTCTCCGTCCACCATCACCAGCAACAACGCGCTGTTGCGAGGGATGCTGGGCAAGCAGCGAGCGCTCAATGTCATCACGAAGAATCCCGGCGTACTTGCGTGCGATCCAGAGCGCCTCGCAATCTCGAGTCCGCAGGAGATAGAGGCCGTCGCGAGCGCCACTTCGGCCGTCGGCAGAGCGTCGACGCCACTCGCCTTTGCCGCGCTCGCGCTTTTCACGCTCGCGCTGCTGCCTTCTGCCGGCGTCATGGACGCCGAGCTGGCCGGCTCAATTGTCCGCCCGGCGAGCGGCGCGATAGGCGCCACGGCCTTTTTCGCGGCGTTGGCGGGAGCGACAGCAGCACAAAGGCGGTCGTAGGCACTTCTCTGGAGCCGTGAGACAGGTTTACGCCCGCCACACACACATATTTTTTGATGTTGTGGAAATGTGTTCAGCGTAAAATTAAACGAGTGGTGGGCGCCCCGTGGGGTCTAGCGCGTAGCGGAGAGGTCGAGCAGGGCAGTAAGGTCCCAAAGCAGGTCGGGGATTTATTTGACAGAGTCAGAGATCAGAACCTACACTAGGAGCGCGTAGCGGAGAGGTCGAGCAGGGCAGTAAGGTCCCAAAGCAGGTCGGGGATTTATTTGACAGAGTCAGAGATCAGAACCTACACTAGCACCGCCGACCTGGAGGTCCGCATGCGGCATGGGGTCAGTTGACCAGTTTCCGACCTCTGTACGTAGGCTGTAGGTCAATCAATCCGACCTGCTACTCTCCACATATCTCATATGGGAGAGCACGTGGTAGCTGGCCGACGTCTGCACGCGGCCGGCCGGGCGAGAGGCTTGACACGATCCGACCCTGCGACCCTGACGCTGCTGCTCTAGCTATCAGACATGCACTGCTGACTGCTGCCACAATGTGCGACCTGTGCTGGCCCACTTGGCGGCCTTCCCGGTCAGTGGTGAGGCGCAGTTCAGAGCTGTCGATGGCGTGATGCCGCACTGGTCCCACATTGGTGACACGAGACCACCAAGTTCGCCGGTCCAAGAGAGAGGTACCGGCGCTGTCCTGAGAAGGTGCGTGGTCCCTCTTGACTGCCCATGCGCGCGAGGCTGCGTAGGCATAGCCTCGAGAGTGCCAGCAGCCAATCCGAGGCGACGCGCATTGCGCCAGAAGCGTGCACACGTCGGAAGGACACCTTCCTACTGACCGTACGATCAGGTCGTCACTGAATGCTTGAAACTAAGGCCGCGAGCTATGCAGGTGATCAATTGTGCAGCAGGGCACGGTCAGCAGCGCCGACAGGCTGTCGCAAGGCGTGATAGCAATGGCCGCAATACCTCCCCCGGTATTTATACCGGTAGGGAGGCGTGTGCCGAATACAAAGTGGAGTCCCGCCCCGCAATAAGCGCAGATGTCCTCTTCAGCCTGCTGAGAGCTTCCTGGCCCGCGCGCGCGCTCCGCCTGGCGCGCGGAGCGACTCGGTGGACGTCCGAGCCCGCCGCCCCTCGCCACTGCACCCTGCTGGCCCATGCAGCGCGACACCGCCGGCGCTGCGCCTGCTTCCTTGCGCGCCGCTGGACGTCGGCCAAAAAGACCGCTGCCCTCTGGGGACCCGACTCCGCGAAGATCGCGCGCGCGTCGTGAATGCGGCGCGCGCGCGATCTCCGTTCCCGGGCACGCCGGTCGCAGTGACATGGGATCCCAGGCTCAAAACAGCACGCTCAACAGCGAGAGCGCCGCCGCTGCTCCTCCTCCCGCCGCCGGTCCGCTCACCGAGACAAACTCGGTGCCGCCGTTCTCGCCGCCGCCGCCGCCGCCGCCGCCTCGACCCTCGCCTCCGTCACCGCCGCCCTCCATCTCGCGGCGGCGTCCCTCTGATGGCGCGGGCGCCTCGCTCGCCGGCGCGCCTCGCCGCTGCCCCCCTCTCGCCGCCGCTCCCTCGTGGCCGCCGCCTCCCCTGTCAATCCCGCCGTCCGCACCACCGCTGCCACCGCCTCGCGCCTCGCCGCCGCCGCCACCGCCCTCCCCCTCGCCGCTGAGCGGTGCTTGGGCCTTGGCGAGCCTCCTCCGCACCGTCCCGGCCGCGGTGCGCACAGCCTGTGCACACTCTCGCCTTCTCTGTACTCTGACTGCGCCGCCGGCGCCGCCACGCATGCAGTTGGGTGCTTGGGTCAGCGGCGTGAGCCGAGAGGTGGCCCACCGCTGACAGCGCTCAGCGCGCGCGCGGGGGGGGGGCACCCCTGGTCCCCTCGCCGCCCAGACACACGCGCGGGACGCGCCCCGGCAGCAGCTCCTGCCTCCTCTCCGCTCTCGCGCCACCCCGCGCGCGGGGGCGTGACGTCTGTAGCGAGGCGACGGTGGGACGGTGTCCGACCCGTTCTGGGGTTTTCATATAATGCGGCTCTACTCGTATCGACCAATAAAATACCGGGGGAGGCCTGCGCAGCCTCTAACTATTAATCCCATGAACAAGTAAAAAATCGCGCGAAAAAAGAAAAATGAAAAAATCGGCGCCTGCGGCGGGCCGTGGGACCCCATCTCCCCCCCGCATGGGTGCCCTCTAGGGCCCCCGCGCCCCCCCAGAGGTAGACCGGTACTCGGGTTTGGATGGTAGCGGGGGGCCCCGCCGGAGGCTGGTTACTGATTTCTTCACTACCCTGAACGCCTTGCCTATCATCATGGTTTTGCAACTGAAAAAACCTCAAAAAGCCCTGGGAGCCCTCCCCCTACTGTTTGAGCAATTTCACACAGCCCTTGTTGTTGAGAAGAAAATCCTCCGGTGGCGCTGCGCGCTGGTCTATGAGAGGTTGAGGTGCGAGCCCTGGAGGCCCTGCCTGGGGATGGGGCGAGACTACCGCGCGCAGGGTGGTTGGTGGGTGGGACTTACACAGCCTTGTTATTGAGAAGAAAATACCTGCTATGGCGCTGTGCGCTGGTCTGTGAGAGGTTGAGGTTCACAGACCTTGTTATTGACAAGAAAATACGTCCTATGTTCACAGCCTTGTTATTGAGAAGAAAATACCTCCTATTCACACAGCGAGAGAGAACCGACAACCGCGAGATCTCGGATGGCCCCAAACTACCGGGGCCTGTCGACCGTCCCGCATGCTGGTCTTATCGCATAATATGGACGCGGAAGACCCAATTAGTGGCGCCGCCGCTGACGCCGCTGAGCTGTTTGGCAGCCTTCCACCCGTTGCCGTGATCGTTGACGACGCCTCGGGAGCCCTCTTCTCCGCTGCGCGGACGGTGAGATCCTCTCCAGCAGCACTGTGCTGAGAACTCTCCCCTGCGGCAGCTCTAGCAGTCAGCCAGTCAGCCTTGCACAGTGAGACGGCAGGTCACACGCACGCAAAGACGCACAGGGCATCACACACGAGGCGTTGCGAGCGGGTCTCACTTCAGGGCTGACAAATCTACGAATACGCCTAGAGCAAAGCTCGCAGAGCTCTAAGTCCGCTCCGCAGCCCCACTTCACACCACCCTGCAGGTTAGCTCCGCGGCGGCCTCAGCGGCGCGCACCACCATCGCCGTAATAGCTGGCAGGCACGACCTCAACGGCACCGCCTCCGCCTACACAAACCGCGCAGGTCCGCGCGCCTTCGGGAGCAGCAGCAGCAGGTCCGCCAGATCGTCCCTCGGCCCCACCACCATTTCTCTGTCCTCTAACGATGGCTTGATCGATTGCCCCTCGAGATCTTGTGCATTAACTCTGTCCTCTGGACGCGCGGCAGCCCGCTGATTGCTCTCGCTGCGGCCCTCAGCTCTCTCGCCCTTGTCCCGGCAGCACGCAGGTCGAGCATGTGCACGTGATCCCATCTGGCGTCATCGCTCTACTAGTGGGCATCTCGCTCGCTGCGGTGGTGATCGCGCTGTGCGCGTTGCACCAGAGCACACAGCGCGCGACGACGCGGGCCGCAGGCAGCGCCTGGCTCAAGCTCTCGCACGGCACTCACGCCGAGTCAGCCGGCAGCACCAGCACCGGGTACGGACTCAGCAGGGGAGAGGGCTCTCCGGTGAGGCCGTCGCGATTCCCGACCCTCGGGGAGTCACCGTACGACACCTACGAGCCCTTCGGAGGCAAGGGGCCAGCCACCGATGGAGGCAGCCGAGGCGGCGATTCGGCACTCCTCTGAAAGGTAGAGCACGGAGCGCTTTGAGATAGTCTAGTACAGTGGTCATCCGCGCGATTTTTTTTCGCTACCGTGTGTTGCGGGCATTAAGAAAACGTACCCTGAAGAAACCACGCCGAGCGATTTCCGCAAAAATCTAAGAAACCACGGCGCGCAGGCGCGCGGCCCCGAGAGAAAAGGCCAGACACGAGTGTGAACGGGAGCCCCAGCTCAAAATTTCTCTTCGCCTGCGTCATCCAGAGAGCCGACTCGGCGGCAGACTCTGGCATCGCCCTCCGGACCGCAACTTACCTCTTCTTACCTAAAAATCCTTCGGGCCGGCTCTGGCCTGAGTGCCGGCCGGAGCTAAGAAACCACGGCATGGGGTGGTGAGGGGTGTGGGGAAAGGCTTCGAAACGGCGGTGAGGGGTGTGAGCGGTGAGGGGTGTGGGATATTGTTTTCTTTTAATGCCTGCAACCCACTTGTACGTACTTTTAGCTTACTGGGAGAAGAGAGAGACGTAGGTAGGTAGGTAGCAGACGACACTGCTTCGGCAGCGTGCACCTCGATCCTGTACCGTGTTTGTTATGACCCCCCCCAATGAACACACCAGTGAGGGAGGGCGAGACGATCGAGGGGTCCCGTACCATGCAGAATCGACCCTATCCAGTGCTCAAGTGCTCAGGTTGGTAGGTAGGAAGGTGAAGAACAGCCAGGGCCCAGGCTCGGACTGGACACCAACGCGGTATGGGTGGACGCTGGACAGATGATGACGACACGCATGAGCGACACACAGACACAAACAGGCTCACAAGACACGTACTCGAGTACTGGGAGAAAAGGGACAGGTGTGTACTGGAGGGCGCCTGGGTCTAAGTTAAGTGCGCTTTAGTGATAGTTTAGTGCGCTATTTAGTGTGTGTTCGAGTGCGTATATAGCGCGACTTTAGCGCGACTTTAGCGCAAATTTAGTACATATTTAGCACATTATTTAGCACATATTTAGTGTGTTTTATCTCCAATTTGGCGCCACATTTAGGTGCGGGCAGCAGCAGTACATTTAGTGTAGGTCCCGCATCTTTAGTGCGGGCACGCATCTTTAGCACGGCTTCCCAGCCACACCACAGCTAGCCAGGGCCGCGTGCTTTGCTCCTTGGCTGCCAAGAATGCACCACAGGAGATGCCTCTCCCTGCCGCCCCTCGCCTCTCCCTGCTGCCACGGCAGCGCCACCATCGTCTGCTCCGGCCGTGTCTGCCATCGCAGTAAAGTCGTTATGTTCACGCCCCGCTTCCGGCAAACGTTTTGCCGCTCGGCGGGCCCGGAGAAGCAGCCGGGAAAGCACCGGAGGCTGATATTTAGCTGAATTAAAAACCTTCGTTCGGTTGGGGGTCGGACGGGAAACTTTTGCGAGTGGGCAGGGGACTGCAGGGGGAGAGGGGGAGGGAGGCCCAGCGAGGGGCTGCGGCTGGATCCTAGTGCGCGGATGGACTAAAGACGCACTAAACCTCGCTAAATCTGGATGTAAAGTCGCAGTAACTCGCGCTAAATTTGCGCTAAATTCGCACTAAATTCGCGCTAAAGTGCACTAAAGATGCAGTACATAAACTCACTTCACACCTCACTAAATTTAGACCCAGGCGCCCTCCTGTTCTCCTGTATCTAGATACATCATACATGGACTGCTGCGGCACGACCGCCAACGAGATTGGGGCCAGCACAACCGAGCCATGCATCGTGAAGGCGATAGTCCACCCGCCGGCTCGGAGTAACCCTGCACTCTCTTCTTCGAGTCCGTATGCTGGGTGGACGGCAGACACCAAGTCTGAAGGCCGGCTGCGTCGCCCTCGAGCTGCCTCAACTGCTGCTCCTCGACCATGTCGACGTCGCACATCAGCCGCTGGCTCATATCAGTAGCGCCGCCAGGAGCTTGGCCGTCGCGCCGCCCACCCGCTTGGCTGTAAGCGCGCGGTGGACCTTGCAGGCCAGGCACCAGGCCGAGCCACAAACGATGCCATCGCGTCAACTTTCCCTATAGCTGGGGTCGATCCCAATAGACAGTCCGACCACCCTACAGTACTAGCCCGCCTCAACCCACTTTACCCATACTATTATATTATATTACCAGTACTCGAGTAGGCTAACCTCGGAATGTGACACCAGAATGCCGCTGTGTCACATTCCCGGCTTAGCCACACTCGAGTGCGCACAAAAATCGACTGCGTCGCGACGCCCGGTACAGCGTTGCGCTCGAGCTTCGAGAGCTTGGGCGAGCTCTGAGACGCTTGCGTCAGAAGGTGCTGCTCTATGCTCGGCGCAGCGTTCCTGTTGCACGGAAATCAGCCACGCCGTGCAGTGCGAAGCGGTGATATCCGTGCCAGCGCCTCGGCTGCTGACCTCACCGCTGCGCTTCGCGAGATTCCAAGCCGCGGGCTCGATCAGCATGAGGACGCGTACAGGCCGCCGGCGTACGTGGAGGGCATGCTGGAGTTGATCGATACGCTCGCGTCGATCGGCTGGCCCACCAATCAGGCCGAGGTGTGGCACTCCCTATCTCGGACTTACACTCTGATTTCTACCCCCGACTTGCCGCTGTCCGGCACCTTGGTCAGGACTGGATGATTGCGGACTGCTTCTTCTCGAGCACCTGGCGGCTCGCCTACACCTCCTCGAGGACGTTCGCGAGGTACCGTGGCCTCAGCGGCTGGGGCGGACGCATCGACGGAGTCACAACACCGGAGCTGCGCATGCGGGTCGCGCGGAGCCCGCAGTGCGTCACGTTTGAGGAGCCACTCTCCGAATCGGCTGCCTTCGCCATCGCCAGCGCGCTCGCCCTGCCCGCCGATGAGGCGGCGCCGTCCGCGGTTCTGATCGACGGGACGTGGCGCATGGCGGCGAGCGAGGGGCTCAATATTCAAACGACAGCGATCCGGCTCGGCTCGCGCAACTTTAAGCCGGCTGACGGCGCGGCCGACGGCATGGTCGATTTCGAGCACGAAAAGGCCGTGCGCGTGCTCGGGGCGACCACGCCGGTCTACCTCGACGCCGCGCTTCTAGTGCTGCGCGCACAGGCCGACGGTGTCGTGTTTGTATGGGAGAGCCTGCCTTGAAGCTTATCCAGCTCTCTCTCTCTTACGTGCGTCTTGGTCGAGCGCTGCTTTGTTTGTTATCGCATTCAGGCACATCGAGTATAGACGAAAAATACGACACGACACAACACGCCGGTATTGTCTCCTTGGGGTTGGGCCTTCCCTTGTCTGTTGACAGTTGAGTGTTGTCTCTCTCTCTGCGTCTCCGAGACGCGAGAGAGAGAGACAGAGAGAGGCGCGGAGGCCAATTCCCCTAACGCGTGCGCCACACACACCCGGCCACGAGCTAGCCTGTACGGTGCAGCGCACTGCACCACATGCACATGCTCATGTGGCAGACTAGCGACCAAGGCCGCGATTGGAGTTATGTTGGAGTTATGTTTGCGCCGCTGCTCGGCTCCCGCGTGGCCGGCAGCTCGGCCGCGCCCCACAGAGACACCGCGCTGCCGCCCTTGCCTTTGCCCTCCTCGACGGCCCCGGCCTCTACCTCACCGGGGCTGGCGCTCAGGCGGCCCTCGGCACCGAACTCCGCCTCCACGTCGCCAGTTGGCAGCAGCGCGACGACCAGCGCGGCCAGCAGCGGAAGCAGGCCGAGGGTCCAGCCGACCCACACGCTCCAGGCGGGCAGGAAGCCCTTGCCCGCGGGGAAGGGCGTCGACGACGCCGCGTCCATGATGTCCCATTTGTTAAGCGACATGGCGACGACGACGACGAGCAAGGCGGGGCAGATGAACTTCCAGCTCACCGTGTGCGTCCACCCCACCGTCTGGCCCGTCCACTCCTTCACCCGCCGCCGGAAGCCGAGCCAGACGGAGCTTCTGAACCAGCACACGCCGAAGCACTCCATGCCCGTGACGAAGAACATGGCCACCACGCAGGAGTAGCTGTCCATCAGCTCGAACCAGTAGATGCCGCTCCGAGTCACAAAGATCAAGCCGAGGAGGTAGGAGAGGACGCACACCACGGCCGACAGCTTTGGCCGCGACAGCCCGCCGCCGACGCCCGCGTCGCTCAGGACGGTGACGATGCTCTCGACCATCGCGAACTGCGAGTCGATCCCGAGGCAGAGGAGCATCACGAAGAAGAGCATCGCCCAGAAGAACCCGCCCGGCATGCTCGCGATGGCGATGGGGAAGGCGACGAAGGCCAGCCCCGTGCCCGACAGACCGACGGACGCCAGCCCGCTCAGGTCATCGCTCCGGATGCACGGGTTGTACTGCGAGAGCTCGTGCGCCAGGTAGCCGAGCACCGGGAAGACGACGAAGCCGGCGAAGATGGAGGTGCCGCAGTTGATCAAGGACACCTTGGTCGCGTCGCTCAGAAAACGGTTGTGCTTGCTCCCGTACGAGGCGAAGGCGATGAGCGAGCCGAAGCCCACCCCGAGGGAGTAGAAGATCTGCGTCACCGCGCGGACCCAGACGGTAGCGTCGAGGAGCACGCTGAAGTCGGGCTTGACGAAGAAGGTGACGCCCGTCGCCGCGTTGGGCAGCGTGATGGCGCGGAAGAAGAAGACGACGAGGGCGACGTAGGGAAGAGTCGCCGTGACGTACACGACCTTGCCGCTGCTCTGCACACCGTTGTAAACGCAGAGGTAGACGAGGATCCACGCGACCGAGAAGGCGCCGAGCATGCCCCACTGGAACCCGCCCAGGTCGTCCATGCCGCTGCTCTGCTGCAGCACCTGGTTCTGCCAAAAGTCGAGGGCCGAGTGTCCTGGACACTCTGACGGCCTGACTTCGACCTGCACGAACCCGGCGGGGATCGCGGTATCGTTGGCCTCGCTGCGGGCGATCGGGTCGACGTGGTGCGCCACGGCGTCCGGGTCGACGGTGGAGAGGCTGCCGGCGGACGGGCACCAGAAGTCGTCCAGGTGGGACGCGTTGAAGCGGCCCGTGGCATTGTTGAACAGGGTGGGCAGCCCAGCGAGCTCGGCCGGGACGACGAGCGTGGTCAAGGGGCAGTCTCCGCCGAGGTCTGCCCAAGGCAGCTCGCCTCCGCGGAACATGGCGCCGACCGTCCGGCCGATGTAGTAGACCGTCCACGCGAGGATCACGTTCTGCGGGCGAGGCGAGGCGAGGCGAGGTGAGGCGAGGCGAGGCGAGGTGAGGCGAGGCGAGGCGAGGCGCGTTGTGGCGAGGGTAATCTCACGTAGTAGAGCGAAACGAAGAAGGTGCAGAGCGTCGCCGCCACGCCGACGCCCCGAAGCCTTGGGAGGCCAAGCCGCGACCACATCCCGAGGGTTCCCTGTCGGAACATCTGGCCAAGCCCGAGCTCGAGCTGGAACAGAGGGAGGCCGAGCAGCATCAGGGAGAGGAGGTACGGGATGAGAAAGGCGCCACCGCCGTGCTCGTAGGCGAGGTAAGGGAAGCGCCAGATGTTGCCCAAACCCACAGCGTACCCGACGAGGGTGAGCATCAGCTCGAGCTTGCTGGCGTACTCCGGTCGCGACTCCGTGACGGCGTCACCATGCGCGGCCATGGTTCGGGCGGGGGCACGCTACCCAGCACAACCGGGACGGGGTGTGCTGCACGCCTTACCTGGTCGCGGCAGCAGCCACAAGGACGTGTAAGTAGGAGGACGGACGGGCCGAGCAATTTTTTTCCCCCTTTGTTTCCAGCTCGACGGGAGAACTTTGCTTTAGGTATATTGTTTTAGGTATATTGCTTGGCCTTGAAAAAAAGGCAGAAAAAAGTTGAACCGCACGCCCCTGCCTGCGGCGCGATTTTCGCGAATTTTAGAATTTTACAACAAAACTCCCTCGCACAACACTGGGCACGGGACTGGCTCGCACTGGCACTAACACGATTTTTAGAATTTTACAACAAAAGGCGGTCGGTCGCACGACACGATTCAGAGAGAGATTTTTAGCAATACCAAACAAATCTGTTTGTTGTTGTCACGATTCACGCGACAGCGATTTTTAGAAGTCCAGACACGTATTAGAGCGATTTTGCCTGACTTGGCTCTTGGGAGAGAGAGAGAGAGAGAGATTTTGTGTTTTGTTTGCTGACTTGGTTGGTCGAATCTAGATGTGTGAGAGAGAGACTCTGTTGTGCGAGGCGTGAACCGCGCCATTCGCTCTCACCTGGCAACCCCGTCTGCACGTCTCGCGCGCGCGTGAACAGGGCTCCAGGCCCCAAATGACGCGTGAGTGTTAGATGTGTGGGGTCCGTTTCTCCCTCTCTCCCTCTCTCCTCCCTCTCCTCCCTCTCCTCCCTCTCCTCCCTCCTCCCTACCAAATTTAGTCTGTCTCCGACCCTGATAGTTCTAGAGCGATGTTGCCTGACTTGGTCGAATCTAGATGTGTGGGGTCCGTTTCTCCCTCTCTCCCTCTCTCCTCCCTCTCCTCCTGTCCTGCCTCCTCTCTACCCGGGTACCCAGGGTTCCCACTTTTTCCGGGGTATGTGGTATGGTAGGGTCGCGCATGCCAGCTCAAGACCATACCCCCCCGCCTGCTGGCAGACCTGCTTGGGGGTATGGTAGGGCTAGTCTTGGGCGGGCAGGACCATACCCCCTACCCCTTTGGGCCGCGAGTCAAGACCATACCATACCCCGGAAAAAGTTGGAACCCTCGCTGGTATCTCACAAATACTTGATTTTTCCAGGCGATCGGATTTTTCCGCGCCCTCGAAATTCGTAACAATCGCCTCGCCGCTCCACAATGCCTTTCTCCGTTGCCTCCAGCCGCGCGGCGCCATCGTCCTCGATCCAGTGCCGGCCTGTGACAAGCTTGGCAGCTCGCGGATCGACGATCGCCACGAGCTGCTGCCCGGCGACCGCCGCTCGCCTTCGACGACAGTCGTAACAATCGGCGGTGAGCGGCACCTCCTTGGCCCAGCACCGGTGTTATCACGTCTCAGCTGCTTCATTGCCATGTCCAGTTATGGCGGAGACGCGCTGATAGCATTCCTGTGCACGCAGTTGGACCAGCACGGCCATCGGGTGCGTGGCGCAAAAAGACCTGTTTGCGCTGTCTTCGATATCAGCGGCTACATGCGCTGCTGCGCGTACCTGTGATTCACACATGTTGATCACATCCATATACCTCACTAACATACAGCTGGCGAGCATTGCATCCCTCGTCTGGCCATGCTGTGCATCATCTCACCGTATGCAGCCGTATACGCCCACGGTGCTCACAGGGTCGGGCGTCACGGTGCTCGTGGCAAGCATCTCCGTCACTCTTGTGACTTGTGGGCTTGGTGGTGTTGCCTCCGGTGCTACTGCTGGCTAGGGTGCCAATGGCGCGACGGGAGGCGGCCAT